AGCATATTGACGGATAATAGTATAAATGCAGAAAGTGTAGTCTAATAGTAACACAGAATACTTTACTCTATGTTTCTCCTTTTAATTCAAGATTTATAGGTGTGCATCATTATTTATGCACTTCTGTCGTTGTATCTCTTATTCCTTTTTCGTTGAATTCCCGAAAAATGCTAAGTAACACTTTACGCGATAATACTTTAACTATCTATGGTAATCATAAATAATTAAGCCACATATATGTTTTAACATAAGCAAATAAGTTAAATATCAGTGTGATATCGTATTTACAAGTATTTCCATAGAATATGATTATCACACGCTCCGAATATTCAGAGTAAGTTATTCAGTCCTCCCTTTTTTCTGAGACTTTCCTAATGCCTCAATTATTGCTAACTCTTTCTTCTCCTTCTTTAAATTCCTATCCTCAAATTCCAATCTGTAATTAAACGCTATATCAAAAAGGTGATAAGTCTGTTTAATTTACTTGGGATATGCAAACATCTTCAAATGTTATCAGCATATTGAGTTAAGTGAATAAAAAATATCTTAATTTAATAAAGTGAATCTGATGAAGTCTTTTCCTGCATTAAGTTGCATATCCCATTAGAAAAGCATGAATAGATGAACAGTAAAACAAAAATTTCAAAGTAAAATAAGAATAAACACGATCAGTGTAAGCTGAACGGTGAATTACGAAATGCAAATTGGCAAGATTCAACAGGACAATAGTTGATCAGGCTGTTAATTTCTGTATAGTTCTTTTGATATAGGAAGTTAAAATGGTACATAAATAGTCAATTTTTACATTTTGTTAAGCAAGTGGCAAAATATTAATTCTATACAATTAACCTCATGATATTATTAATTCCATTAATATATTGTTTATTGCATAAATTAAGTGTTCATATACCAGTATTTTTTTCGTGAGAAAAATCTTCAAAAATAATTCCTTAAACATACCAAACTAACAGTAAACATATTGTTAACTACCAAGTAAAAAAATATAATCTAGTATCCAACCATTCTTCGAATAGATCCCATTCTCGAAACACATGTGAAGAACCATTACTTTCTACAGTATTCATTAAGAATCGAAATTGGTATGGATATTGAATCTAATTAATATTCTTTATGTATAACTTGCTTTTACATCGATTTTACGTGAGTTATATAT